GAAATGAACAAACGGGAAATGCCACGCAGGACTCCGCCGTCTGCACCTGTAGATAAGCTTGGTTTTATTATCTGCCAATCCTGATCCTGTCTGTCACTTTACGAAGAGCCGAATGATCCCTCACGGACAGCCGCTGCGGTCCTGGGTCCTCCGCGCCTGGGTGGCCCGGGCCCGCGTGGGTCGGGACCCTCGGGCCCGGTCCTCGTCTGCCCGAGGTGCAGCGCCTTTCCGGGCCCGGGATCCTGCTGGGGCGGGGCAAGTCTGCCGCCCCCGCCGGCCGTCCCGGGACCCGCCCGCTCGGGTGCCCGGGCCCACGGACACCCCAGACCCGCGGGGCGCACAGGCAGCGTTTCTCCATCCCTCACAAATACCGGACTGCGCCGCACTTTTCTCCCAGTGTCTTTTAAAGTTGGGTTCGTGGATCTTAGACGGGACCTGGCTCCCAGCACCTCTCACCGAGGAGAAACTGCTGGTCGGGACGCGGGGCGCAGTACTCCCGCGGCCTCGCAGCCTGTGGGGAGAAGGTGCACTGGAGCCGAGTCCGCGACCTGGAGCCCAGCCCACGCACGTCCCCCCAGGTCACGCGGTGCGCACTCCGCCCGTGCCTGCGGTGGGCGACAGACAGCAGGGGTCCGCGCGGGGACGTCTGGGGCGGGCGGGGGCGCCCTGGGGCCGGGGCGTTGAGGTCTGGAAGGAGAAGGTGAAAGGAGGGGGCATCCACACAACCAAAAATTGCGCTCCTGGGATTCATTTTGGAGTTCCTGCTCCTCCCACCCGTTTCCCCAAGACAGTAAGAGTGGTTTCCTTTCAGTGTCTTTTGTTTTCGGTGAACCTGGGGCCTTTGCTACATCTGAAACCCAAAAAAACAAAAACAAAAACGCACCATTTTTATTTTGGAACAGGGTCTCAATAATCCACTCACTTGCTCAGGCTCAAACTTTCATCCTCCTGCCTCAGCCTCCCGGAGAGACGAGATCACAGACCTGAGCCAATGCGCCGGCTCCGGCTCCCTTCGGCGTCCAGGCCCGAGGCTGGCCCTTGGTTTCCGCGGTGCCGTTTCCTGCACTCTTCCGCGCCCTTCTCCACGGCTGGAGGTAGAATGGTGAATTCCTGTGGACTGGGGCGGGGGCGGGGGGACTGGAACGGTCACCTTCGCAGGCCTCTTGTTGGGGCTGAAAGGGCGCAGAGCTGGAGTCCAGCCCACCCCTGAGAAGGGACTGCTGCGCTCGCTCGGCGTCCGCCAGATTTACCCAGGCCTTCTTGGGGTGGCTGGGACCCTCCTGCGCCCCAGCCGGCGCGGGCCTCTGTTCACCTCCTCTTCCCGTCTCACCTTTTGCTCTTCGGCTGCTTCATTAGCGAGCTCTCCAGGGGTTGGGATGGGCGTCCGGGAAATCTCGGGGCCAAACTGCTCTTTCTTCTTCTTCTAACAGGAAACACAGTGTTTTGTGGGGCAGTGGTTTATTTTTGTTTCGGTGATGTTTTCTTAGTAGTGTTATTGGTTTTCTTTGTTGTTGTTATTGGTCTTTTAATTCGGGTGTAAAGGATGAAATTGAAATTGCTGTGGATGCGTGTGTTTGCCAACCTTCACATGGGTTTTCTTTCCATCACCATGGAGGTCTGACTGGAGTTAGAAACCCTACCAATTCTGGGAGGATCCCCCCCCCCAAGATGAAATTGCTCCTGAATTCCCAGCACTCTGGGAAGTGGAGGGAGGAGGATCACAAATTGGAGCCCAGGCTGAACAACTTAGTGACCTAGCAAGACCCTGCCTCAAAACGAAAGGGGCTGAGATGTAGTTAGTGCAAAGGCCCTGGGTTACATCCGCAGTAACACACACACACACACACACACACACACACACACACACACACAGCCATCCCGTGGCCCAGGCCGGCAGGCAGTGGCTTTGGGGGCCTCCTGTAGCCTCCATGTGGGGATAACATTGAAATCCGGGTACAATGATCTGTCTTCTGGCCCCCATCTCTGTCCCTTTACCTGTAAGGCGCCCGACCTTGTGAACATCACGAACTGCCCTTGAGCACCGTGAAAATGACTTACAAATCTGAGCCATCACAGTGTTGCCTGTGATCTTAAATGAGTCTTTCACTCCTCTCAAGACAAACATTTCCTCCCTCAAGGCTGAGCCTCGGGACCAGCAGAACAGACTCCCCCGCCTCTGCCTCCTGGGTCCCTTGTTCCCCTGTCCAGGTGGCTGTGGTCAGCAATCCCTGGGTGTCTGACCACTCCCATGTCCCCCTGCCCAAGCCTGCCAGGGGCTGAAACAGGAGTCTGTAAGCAGCGGGCGGGCATTGCTGTGCATTAGTGTCACCTGAGCTAGGGACAGGTGTGGAGCCTGGGATGAGCCCAGGAGGACCAGCTTTGCAGCCTGGGTCCTTTGAAGAGAACGCAGGCTAAATCACTCTTCTGAAACAGGAGTCAAACGTGCCAGGGTGAAGAATCTTCTCCTGCCCTCCTGCTTTTTATGAAGTCAGATTTATTGGGGTGTAATTTATATAATAGTCGATTCACTCCTTTCTGTGTAGTTTTGTGGGGTTTGAGAAACACACAAATCACCGCAATCAAGATATCAGAGTTCCTGTACATCCCCCAATTTCCCTCCCCTGTGCCCGCCCCATCCCCCGCCCGGTCCCTGCCTCTGGTTTAGCCGCCTTTCGGTCCTGGAAGTGGGTTCTTTGGAATCTTCTGCTTGGCCACCCGCTTGGGGTTGCCCTCCATGTCCTTGCCTGTGTGTATGTAGTTCGTTCTCCTGTCTCTGAGCAGTATTTCGGGCATTTCGCCATCTCTTTCATCTGTTTGGGCTCCACTTTGGGGCAGTGATGAGCAAAGCTGTAGGTTTTGAAGACACCAGTAATATCCCCTTGTGGAGTCAAACACAGCTGCTAACTAACACCCTCTCCTTATCCGGCCACATTGCAAATGGTGCATCCGCTGGGTGCAGAACAGAGTGGGTCCCTCGCAGGCACAGGCAGTGGTGCATGAAAGTGTGTGTGTGTGTGTGTGTGTGTGTGTGTGTGTGTGAAGAGGCTGAATCCAGAGCTTTTGAAGTGGAGTGAAGACAATCCAGTCACATGATTCCTGAGAAATTGGTCACCCTTGAGAAATTAATCACTCCTGGCTGATAAGGCTAAGAAGTGCTAGCTTCAGGCGGCAACAGGTAGAGAGAAGGCTGAGAAGTCCCTTATTCCCCTGTTCAGAGCCCCACCCCACCCCTGCCAGAAGGGTGTACAAAGCTGGAATTGGGCAGATCTGGAAACTCTGTAGGGCACCTTCCCAAGTGACACCCTGCCCCATCCCTGTTCTAGGTTCCAGGTACTCCTCGAATTCGGACCCTCTCTTCCACATTGGTCTCTCTTTAGGTCCTGTCCTTGGGCAACTTGCTGGTCCTTAGCACCAGTGTTGAGAAGGGGCAGAGCCAGGAAGATGCAGACTTTAAAGGGAGGCCACTGTCGGGAAAGGGGTGCAAGGCTCTCAGTTCTCCCAGTTGTGAAGTTGGAATGCAGCACGTAGGGCTGGAGATGCCACTGGCTCCGTGGCGGAGCACCTGTCTGGCGTGCGCAAGGCCTCGAGTTCCATCTCAGCACCCCGGGAGAAAATTCTCAGAATACAGTAAATATCCTTTGGACAGAAAAGGGGGGTCAGCTAGCCAAGCTCTGTGACCACTTTCCTCCTCCTGTGGTTGCAAGAAACCAATTTGTTCCCAGCAAGACTTGCTCCAAACTGGAGCCAGGATGAGGAAACGCAGCCCCCGCTGGGCACCTGCTGCAGCCTCGTGGGCCAGGACGGTCACCTGAGGCCATGGGGCCCTGGACCTGTCCTCACTGGCCAGCACAGCAGGACCTCCAGCCTCGGTGTCGGTGTCCTGGGACCTGGGCTAGCAAGGCAGGCAAGCAGGCGAGGCGCAGTTTTCACACTTGGGCTTCGCCTTGCTTGACACTTTCCTGTCTGTCACTGGGCTGCAGCTGTGCCAGCTCTCGGCGCCTGCCTGTGTGGCTTCCCCAGCTCCAGGGCACCCAGCGCTCCTTCTCCCAGCAAAGGGTGCGGGCCTGTGTGGAAGCAAAAGAGGCTGGCTCTGGGGGCGCCAGTCTGGGGAGGGGTGGGCAGCAGTGCCCTCCCCACCGCTTACCTCTGCCCTCCCCAGCCCAGGTGAGGAGAGCCCTGGACTCCAGGTGACCCTGTCCCCGGCTGGTTCCCCATCCTCTCGCCTCACCTGGAGGGACACTTGGACACTTTCCCTTTGCTTTTTCTGTCTGTGGTTCCCATCGCTAAATCTCTTACCTCCTAGAGCCTCATCTTTCCCTGGCGGTACCTCTCTGTCTCTCTTTCTGTCTCTCGTTTTCTCTGGTCTGGCTGTCCATTCCCCCCCCCCCCCCCCCCCGCTACAGCACTTTTTACCATTTAACATTCTATATATTTGACTTATTATCGGACTTCCTTTTTGGGACAGAAAATTTCCTTGAGGACAGAGAATTTCTGTCTTCAGTTCCATGCTGAGAATCCACACCAGGAACATTCCTGGCTGGGGAGTGCTGGAGAAATTCAGAATGATCCTCACCTCTCTGCAGCTTTCTTGCCCCACCTCTGGAGCCTTCTCCTGTGCTGTGCTTCCCTCCCTCTTGTTTCTGTCACCCTGTTCTTCACCGTGCTGTGCCTGGTGCAGTCCTGTCTTGGTGTCAGAAGGCACAGCTACCACCCTCTGTCACCAGTATCTCAGGCCCCTCTGCCTCCCCTGCCAAAGGCTGCTTCCTCTGTGCCTAGCTGTGTTCTCTGAGCTATACTTGACTTCCAAAATCCTAGCAGTGCCCAGAGATCTCTTTTCCTGCGGACCTCGGGCACTGGACCACTCTGCCCCTCCTGCACCCTAGCATCTACTGCAGGGATTGGCAGTGAGGCAGCCCCTTCTGAGCCCTTCTGGGGGAGCCTTTCATTCCCATGCCCCAGTGCCTCCAGGGATGCTATTAGTAACTTCAAGCATTCAACAAACCCTAACTGAACATCTACCTCCGGAGTGTGTGTGTGTGTGTGTGTGTGTGTGTGTGTGAGGGTAGGCATGTGGACAATCAGCCATAAATAAACGAATCTATAACTCCAAAGCACAAATTACCTATAAATGAAGCAACTGAGCATTTTGTGTAGTCTGAGAATATTAACCATGCTCCGGCTCTGGGCTCAGTGCCAGTGGGATTGCAGCTTTCAAAGTCTGACTCTTGGAGGCTGAGGCAAGAGGATCACAAATTCATCCAAGGCAGGGCCAACTTAGTGACCTAAAGGGACCCTCTCTCTAAATTAAAAATGAAAATGAAAATAAAGTCTGGAGTGTATCTCAGTGCAAAGGCCCTGGGTTCCATAAAAAAAAAGTTTGGGGAAGACCCACAAATGAGAGAATTGAGGTCCGAAGAGAGGGCAGCGTTGGTCCCTACAGAGCTTGCACGCTGGGGCCAGTGGGTGCTGGTGGCTTCCTCTGCAGCTGTTCCCCAAGACCTCGGACCAGGACGGGAGAGGAGTCACCGTGAGGGCAGGAAGCCAAACACAGTGGCAGCAGTGGCCACAGCGCCCGCCTGCCTGCAGAGCTGGGAATCAGACCTGCCCGCAGTGGAGTCCCGCTGGTGCCTCGGGTTTCAGTTCTGGGCTTCCCGCCCTGTCCCGGAGAGCACACTCCCCATTGTACCCTTCCCGAACCTGTGCTCTGAGACAACTGTGTTTTGCTTTTCTTGTAGCTTATGAGACACAAACCGTTTTATTTTAAATAGATTTTAATTTTGAAATTCAAATGTGGTCACTAAAGGAAATCCAGAGATTTTTAAAAAAGTAAAATGATGGTTACAGAAAGTATTTCCTAGTTGAAGGCAGAACAAAGTAAAATGGAAAAAGAACTACAACTCATGAATCTGGATTTGAGACCTTCTCTCACCAGCTCTGCCACAAGGGGCTCCTGCCTTAACCTCTCTCCGGGCTTTCTGGGTCGAAAGATGAGGATGGCAACACTTTCTAGCCCTCCTTCTGGCCTGGCAATGCTGTTTGTTAGAGAAAAATGGAATTTGAAAGTGACTTGAAATCTGGAAGGGACTGTAAAACACGAGGGGATGTGCCACCCACTGGGTCCACAGGCTGGAAGTCAGCAGCATTTCTGAAGGCTGAGCAACACCAGGCAGCCTTTGTACAGCAAGACCATTAACAAGCGCTGTTTCCTCCCACCTTGCGTCTATTGGCAAGAGGCTGAAAGACCAAACCCAGGGTACGGAGTTTGGAGTTTGGTTCCTGCTAGGAGGAGACTAGAGCCCCTTGTCTCCTGCCCTGCCCTCAAGAATTCCAAGTGTCCAGGAAGGGGTCACCCAAAGAAAAAGAAAGGTAGGTCTACCTGGCTTTGCAGCTTGATTCGTTCTCCATTTCTGCATTAGCAGGGTCTGGCGTGGCTGGCACCTTGGTCCCTGGTGCTTGGCTGTCCCCAACTCCAGGGCGTGTGCAGGGGTCTTGACGGTGCCACTGGCTGTAGTAGAGGGGACCCACACCCCTCGCGCGTGGGCCCAGCCGGGGACTGAGGACCGAGGGGCTGGGATGCAGCCGTGTTCGTGTGGTGCGGGTCACTCTGCACAGCTCGGCAAAGGCGTGTCTACACCCAGGAGGAACTCGTTTCCCGGGGCTAGGCTTAACTTCCGTAGCTCCCTCTGAGTCTTTCTCTCAGATTTTCTTGTTTCCCATCAAAAGCCTGGAGAGCTTGGTTGGGGGAGGCAGGGGTTTTTATTTTTTTCTGGATTAGCGGACGGAGGTTTGTTCCTGCTGGGTGCCAGGGCCTCCGCCCCACCCCAACCCGAGACTGTGGCTCCCAACATTGCAGCAGGTGTGCAGCAGCCGCGTCTTCGTCCTGCCCTGAACGCGCTGGGACCCCGACACCGAGAGACCCTTGATGGTCTCACCAGGTCGCTCGGCATTCGTTGTTTTTTAATTTATTTTTTCTGAGGAATTTAAAGTTTTAGCCTACAAGTTTGTCTCTGCTTGGGTACAGACCGGCTCATGCATCCGGAGCCTTCATGAACAGGGAAGCTTGATGTATTCTTGAGTCCTTGGGAGGATCTTTCTAGAGTTTTAAAGAACATCTGAATAATTCATGGTCAAGTGTCACTGCTGGTCCTGGGTAGACCGCAGCACTCAATAAAAAGAAGTCAAAGAAAAAAATACTTTGATGATGCCCACGGTGCTAAGTTCTCCCCGAAGGCTATGGGAAAGGAAAGCGGAAAGAGGACGCCAGAGGGCCTGGGCCACCTTCCCCAGGCCAGCCCAGGGACGCCCTCCTTAAAATAGTCACGAGTCTGAACCTCTGACACCCACCCCACCCCCAGCGGCCTCCGGGGCGAGGGCGAAGCCTGGGAACCCGGCAGCCCAGAACTCCTCCAGCCCCGCCAGCCTGCGAGGCCTTGAAATGCTCTCCGCTCCTGGCAACGCTCTGGGGTCGCGCCGGCTCGGCCTCCCCCAAGGGAGGAAGGGGACTAGTGAAGCAGGGAGGCCAAGACTGAGGGAGGGAGGCGGGGAGGGAAACCAAAACACCCCCAAAGAGCAGACTTGGCCAGCCACCCCCATCTGTCCTTGAGCTGAGGCCTTGGGAGCGCTCAGAGGCAGGAATCTTCCTGGGCCGTGGGCTCTCAGCTTCCAGCCCACGAGAAGACTGTAAACGGACAGCGAGGGTAAAGGACCTCAGCCGGGGCCTGACGTGGGGCCCTGGCCCCGGGAATCCAGGAATCACAAGCCACACAACAGGGGTCCCACAACAGCCGCGCAGAGAAAGCCTGTTACCGCCCCCCACTCGTGCGCGTGCGCGGAGGAGACTGCCGCGCAGGGACCCTGGGGATGGTGTTGCTTGCTGCGGGCCACCCGCACTACAGGGAGGCTCCTGCGTGGGGCAGCCGGTGTCCTTGGCCTCGGGGAGGACTTTCCTCTTCGCCTGGCAGGAAGGCCCAAGTCCCTGGCTTGTTCCTCAGAACATAGCTGCCTTGTCCCCAGGTTGGGCTCTTTTCGCCCTCTAAAGGACGCTCCAGGAAGGCAGAGCTGGGACCTCGGGTATCTGCAGCCCCAAGTCCCTGCGGAGAAGGCTGGAGCAGGCCTCCTTCGCCCAGGCCCAAACTTCAATGCGACAGAGCCCTCCAAGGCCCCTTCCACAGGCCTTTGGCTTCGCACCACTCCTGCCCTTCCCAGCGTGGACGAGGGCCTCACGCAAACGCTGCAGGCGGACCACGTTCTCTGCTCGGCGTGGCCGCAGGGCCCCCAGGACGGCCTCCCCCTAAATTACCAGGCCTCGGGTCCGGTGCCCAGCTCCACACGGGCGCTGGCTGGGGGTCTGAGGACCCAGCTTGCGGGAGTGTCCCGGGGCCAGCGTCGGTGCGTCCACTGCAGCAGCCCCGCGCCCCGGAGGCCTCAGTTTCCTCTCCTTTCTCGGGCTGCTCTGGACTCCACACCCCTGCTTCGGGGCAGAGAATTCCCCGCGCAGTCGCGCTCAGTCCTTCCTCTGGGATTTTCCTGAGAATCCCGGGAGCTGGCCACGATCCCACGGTGCGGGGGGGGGGGGGTGTTTCCTTCCAGGCAGCCTGCGTCCCAACCTGGTCCTCAGTGCCGGGGTCCCTCCCGCGGCCAGGGAGCCCACGACCCATTTCCCACCGTGGAAGCGATGGCATCCCGGCCTCCCATGGGCTCGGGCGGGTTTCTTTCAGGGTGGTAACCCACCCTCCTCGACTCCCTTTAATCTGGTTTGAGAAACCTGGGGTGGGGAGGGAAAAGCGGCCTCTTAAAAAAAAACAAAAAACCTTGTAACTGAAAGCGTGAGAGCCACCCGGCGACTTGTTATCTGGGACTGAAGGCTGCGGTAATCGATGGGTTATTTTTACGCGGTAATAGGGCCCTGCGATTGCTCTATTAACCTTTAGACCTGTCTGAGGGACTCGCGGCGCACAGCCCCGCTGCGCCTGGGCCCGCGGCGCCAACGCCGGCGCTAGCTCCGGTCTGACACCCGCCCCGCCCCCAGCCGGGGGGCGCCCCGGCCCCTCCGAGCCGTGCAGATCGGGGCCGCGGACTGCGGGGAAAACAGCGAGGATCCGCGGGCGGAGGCCTGGGAGACGGGGGCGTCGCGGGGAAGCCTCGCAAGAGTTTTGCATAAATACATAAAATCGAGGGCTGGTGCTGGGGTTCTCGGCGCCTCGCTGTCTCCCGGGCTGCTGGGAAGGCAAAAGGGAGGCTTCGCCCTTCGCTCTCTGACTTCGGGGTCCAGTCCGGAATTTGGGGTTTCCTGAGTCTCCGTGGAGTCCGGGGCTGGGAGGATCCCCAGGAGTCCGGCCTGGAGACCAGCAGCAGCCTGGAACCCGGGGCGACCTGAGACCCCGGGGCGACCTGAGACCCCGCGGCGGCCAGGACCGCACGAGAAAGGTCACCTTCCGCTCCCGAGCCCCGCCCCTCGCCCACCGCCGGGGCCCAAGATATTGGGGGTTGGAAAGGCAGGAGGGAAGCCCCGGAATAAAGAGGGCCCCGCGCAGACCAGCCAGCGGGGTCGCCCTCAGGCTGGGCCGCGGCACCTTGGCGTTTGGCGAGGACTTCTCGCGCCCGGACTTTGCCTGCTAGGGGCGCTTTCTGCAAAGCTCGCTGTCAGGAGCCCCGCGGAGGTGCCGGCCGCGCCCCGCCCCCGACCGGCACGTGACGCCTCTGGACCAATCAGCGTTCGCGGGCCGCGCGCAGGGCCCGGGCCGGCCCCCTGCCGGGGACTCGCGGCGCTCGGCACTGTGGCCGCCAGAGGCTCCGCCGCCCCGCAGCTCCCGGAGCGCCCGAGGGAGCACGCCAGCCCGGTCTCCAGGAAGCTCGCGCCCGCAGGTAGGGCTTTTCCCCCGTCTTCAGGCTCTGTCTGCCGGGGCGGCACTCGGAGCGCCTCGGTCCGCGCGCGATCGCCTCGGGGAGGTGGTCACGGAGTGGAAGGAGACATCGGGCGCGCTGCTCTTCCCGAACTGCCCAAAGACCGCTACGCTTGTGCTTTTGCAAAGCGGCTACTTTCCAGCGGAGGAGGCCTGGGGGCCCAGCGCAGAGGGGGCTTCGAAGGCATTCGAAGGCATTCGCAGTCCTTTCGCGTGAACTTGAACACTGAATCCGCCCAAGGCGCCCAGGCGCCAGCCCTCGCCGGGGCCTGGGTGACGGCGGCGGCCCTGCGAAACCAACCTGGCTGACCTGGCACAGGCCGCGAGCGGACCGGGGCCGGCGGCGGGGCGGGGCTGCGGGGCCGCGGGGCCGCTGGGGCGGGAGCGGGCCGAGGTTCCGACCGGGCGAAGCCGTCCCGTGCTCCCTCCCGGCCAGCCTGCTCTCCAGCCGGGTCCGGGGAGCCGAACCCACCGCGCCAGGCTCCCGACCTCGCCCACCGGCCTGCTTGCAGGTGGGACAGGCGGAGGCCGGAGCTCGGGCGGCCACGGCTTGCTCCTGACCCAGGACGCTGCATGGTTCGGCCTGGGCCTGAGGGTGAGGGCGAGGGATGCCTGGGAGGCGAGCTGCCTCAGGCCGGGGCCAGAGGGCTCCGGCTAGGAGGAGGTGGGCAGAGGCCTCGGGCGGCCCGGCCTGCGCTCCCCTCCCGCAGAGTTGGGCGAGCACCTCGGGATCGTTTCTTGTGCTTTTGGAAAAGAAGGGCACCCCGGGGCAGGTTTCGGCATTCAGAGAAGGAGAAGTTTCAAGGGGGTGGCCGGGGGATCCCCAGCCGACTTCGTCCGTGCTTCCTCGTCGCTGGCTGGGCTGTGAGTTCGCGGGTGACAGGTTTCTCGCGCGGCAGGCCAAGGGCGATGAAGAGAAGGAATCGTCGTGAAGTGACGCGAGCCTTCCGGCGCTTTCAGCTCTCCCACTCTTAGCAGTAGATGGGAAAAGGGCTGTTGGCGGAATCGTGCGAGCAGAAAGTATCCCTTTGGGCCTTTGAACTCGGGGTACACTGGAGTGAGTGATCAGGAGAAGGAAATGCGGGTGCAGGCTCTGTCAGGTTTCCTCCGCTGCAGGCGGGACCTCGGCTGATTACTGAAGCAAGCTAGAAACCTCGCAGGGGCGTAGTTTCTTGCACTTTCCGAAAGGTGAGGGGTTATTTTCTCCACCTTCTATTGTTCCAGTAATCCAATTTGGAGGTAATGTATCAGCCATTTGAAAGAGCAGGGAATGTACTAAGTGCCAAGAGTTAGGTTTGTAACATTTGTAGCATTTACATTTTAAAACTTTAGCACCTGTATGTATACTCGGAGTTATAAAATTCTAAATCTCCTTCCTTTCCTGCAGTTATGGGAGAAAAGAAAATTTACAACGTAATCTTTTTTAAAAAAAAAACTGCAAGAGTTAAGTATTGTGAAAGATACAATGAAATAGATCAACTTCTTCATTTAAAATTAAATACTGGATATTTTATTAAGGTAGGCCAACATATTTATTGAAACTCAAAGATTATAGGAGGTAATATTTTGTTTGCCTTTATTTTCAAAGGAAGAAGTTGGTGACCTCAGGTCAAATTTTTTTGTGTTTGTTCTCTAACCAAAGTTGCTCACCGAACCAACAGTTTCTTGTATATTTTGAAAGCAAATAATAAATAATTACCATAGGAGTATACAATAGAATTAATTCAATTATTATTACTAGGGATAGTGCAGAAATGCAAAAAGGCATTATACAGTGTGCATACAGTAAGGATTCCATTTCCAGAACTTTTACAACAGGAAAGGTGATCGTTGACTGTAGTACATCCCAGGCCTCAGGTGTTTTCTTATGGTACATTAGAAATCTGTAATGACAGCCAACTGTTATTTGAACTTTCTTTGTGTCTGTTACAACTGTCTTGTAATGCCTTGCTGTGAATGCGTTCATGTATTAATTTATAATCCTCACTCATAATTCTCATGGTGACTATGACACAGGTACCTTTAATATTTGTACATCGAAGGTGAGAAAACTGAGACAGAGAGGTGAAATGGTTGGTCTAGAGGTATTATTCAGTACGTGGAAGAGCCTGCGTTTATCCTTGCAGTTCTGTTCCAATAAAAAAGAAACCAGTCAGGAGCAGGTGCCTCTTCTTGAGAAAAGGCGTGGGTTAGTGGACAGCTTCAAATTCTCAGCGCCCTCCAGATACCACCCCCACCCTCTGATTGTGCTTTGATCTTATACAAGTTTAAAAACTTTCCAAGGCTTCAGTTCCCTCTTTTGTAAAATGAGGAAGGACAACCTTACTCAGTGGGTTTGTAAAGAAAAGGACCTGGGGCACCAGGCAGGTATGTTACAAAGTAGAGGGCTTGTTTTTCAGAAAGATTCAGGCTGCTAGAACCCCCACGGTCAAGCCGTGGAACTGTCCTTTCCCTGAGCAGTACACCCGTGCTGATTGTGCGCGCCGACTGTGCGTGTCGTGGACCTGCAACTCCGCCCAGAAAAACCTGCCGCTGAATTAGAATGGCCCGTTGAGCTCTGTAGAGTGAGTTCTATGTAGTCCTCCTTCCTTTCTGGCCCCATATGCAATCTGTAAAATGTCTAAAATATAACTATTTGTGAGAAACATGTAGCTTGTCTCATTTGATGCCCACATGGTACAGAGTATGGAGAAGGGGTCTCTCGCTCCTTTTTAGGAGATTTAGCAGACAGTGTTGCTGATTCATAAACATTTAGACTCTACCTCGGCTTTTTAAAAATAGATTACAAACAAAACTTTCTTAGGTTGCTGGTTTTCATAAAGTTTGTCACCCCTGCCCCCATCCAAAGTTACTTCTTGGCCAAGAATGCTTGGGGAGAGGAGAGTGGAGAAAAAAAATGAGGCAGATTTCTTGGGTCCCAGGCGTTCTCTGGAAACCGAAACTCTTGGATTTAGAAAATACTGTCGCAAAAGTATGCTTGAATAATAAGGTAAAATTAAAGTCCTTCTTGGATAAGCAATAGAAAAATCGACCTATTACATAGATCATAAGCAATAAGTGCAGGCCCAAGTGCCATGGCGTCATCCCGATGCCTACCGCGGGCAGCCTTGGGCAAAACGCCGCGGCTTCCCGAGAAATCGCGCAGCCTCGAAGCTGAGCCCAAAGCGGCGGTTTCGTTCGCACGCCGGCCGCAGCGTCCCAGCGTGGGGAGCGTGGGCCCGGAAAGCGCTGGAGTAACTTCTCTCTCCGTTTCTGTCAGTCTCCCTCTAGGACCGCGGCTGCAGCGAGAGGAAGGAGCCGCCTGGCCTTTGGCATTGGAGCCCGAACTTCAGCCTCCCGCCACGCGGTGTCCAGGAGGCCGCGGGCAGCCACGCGCGCCACGAGTGGGCGCCCCGTCCTGCTGCTGCCCGTCCGCCTCGAGCTCCCGAGCTCCCGAGCCCCAGCCCGGGAGGAGTCGCCTTGCTGCACCCTGGGACCGGCGGAAACTCTGGCACTCTCCCGAGTGAGGGGCAGCCTCGCCTTTTGCTGGACGCTGGATTTCAGACGCATGAATCCCTGAGCCGCCTGGCTTTCCGGCTGACTCTGACCTCCGCGTCCCGCCAGCCGCCCTCCGGCCGCCAGCGAGGACCATGTACCAGAGCCTGGCCATGGCTGCCAACCACGGGCCCCCGCCCGGGGCCTACGAGGCGGGCGGCCCGGGCGCCTTCATGCCCGGCGCGGGCGCCGCGTCCTCGCCGGTCTACGTGCCCACGCCGCGCGTGCCCTCCGCGGTGCTCGGCCTGTCCTACCTCCAGGGCGGGGGCGCGGGCGCCGCAGCGGGGGCCGGCTCGGGCAGCGGCTCGGGGGCCGCAGCAGGCCCGGCGCCCGGCGCCCAGCAGGGCAGCCCGGGCTGGGGCCAGGCGGGCGCCGAGGGGGCCGCCTACACGCCACCGCCCGTGTCCCCGCGCTTCTCCTTCCCGGGCACCTCGGGCTCCCTGGCGGCCGCCGCAGCCGCAGCCGCCGCGCGCGAAGCCGCAGCCTACAGCAGTGGCGGCGGGGCGGCGGGCTCGGGGCTGGGCGCCCGCGAGCAATACGGGCGCGCGGGCTTCGCCGGCTCCTACTCCGGCCCCTACCCCGCCTACATGGCCGACGTGGGCGCGTCCTGGGCCGCGGCCGCCGCCGCCTCCGCCGGCCCCTTCGACGGCCCGGTGCTGCACAGCCTGCCTGGCCGGGCCAACCCCGCCGCGCGACACCCCAACCTAGGTGAGTCCAGCGCGGGGCGTCTGACGTCCACCCGCGCTCTGCGGGGCAGAGGGGTACTCGCTGCCTGAAGCCGGGGCCAGGGAGGAGGTGGCTGCCGGGAGGGCAATGTGGAGGGAGGCGGCGCCCCCATTGGGCCTCCTGCAAAGGGCAGCTCCCCCTCGGGGGCCTGGGGAGGACCGAGTGACACGGGCTGGGGCCTGAGAGCTGGGCCATTTGGCGGCCCGGTTGGAGGACCCCTCCGAGTGGCAGATGATTTTCCTGTGGGGGATTTCACACCGGACACACAGGAGGGACGAGCAAAGGAGGCCGCCGGAGATGGGTCCAACTGGAGCCTCACCGGGCCTGTCCTGGGGGGGGGGGGACGGTGCGGTCTCCCGAGCCCGGGCCAGGTGGACACCCCTGGTCCTGTCTGGGAACACAGGAAGCCTGGCGGGGGGGGGGGGCTTCTCTGTAATGCACCAGTTGGCTTTGCTGCCTCTTCCTTGCTTTGCCGCGTGAGAAGGTGCCCTCGCGGTGGGCCCAGTGTCGCTTACCATCCAGAGCAGGCGGGAGGTCGGCTCAGCGTCCACTCCCGCGGGTACAGGTGGCCGCGCTGGGACAGGAAGGGACGTGGCGACCACGGGTTCCACATTCGAAGGACACCGGGTCTTGTGGGGTTTCAGGACCTGAGAGACCATTGGGTTTGGCTCTGGGGGAAGGGAAGCTCAGACTTTGGAAACAAAGTTAACATTTATTGACTACCTACTAAGTGCTAAATCCTTTTGCTTTTGTTCTCACTTTGAATAGTAAAGCCTGTCCCTCCCTGATTCCTGCGTTGGGCTGGCTCCGAGAAAAGTCTCGACTTTCAATAGCTTTTAAATGATTCTCTGGCCCTGGGTGGCCAGGGAAGGTCTCCGGGGGGGTGCAGTCAAATACACATCCCAGGTAAACTGATTAACGTGGAAGTGGCGCCGGTGGTGGCTCCCAGCGCCCCTCCCTCTCCGGGGAGCCCAGACGGCACCCCTGAGAGGAGGGGGGAGGAGGAGGGGGAGGAGGAGGAGGACGCCCCAGTGCGTGTTGGCGTCCTCACGATGGCTGCTCAGGGCCGCACGGCCTTTGCCTGCTTCCTGGCTCAGGTTCTCTTCACCTAGAGCTCTCTGGGGCTTAGGATTTAAAACCGGGAAAAATGGCCCAGAGTTCCATTTGTGTTAACTTGAGTGAGAGCAGGAGGGAGTGGGGGTTCGTGGTAATCTCCACAGTCCTGGAATGAGAATCTGGCTTGGTTAAGTAGCAGGGGCAAGAGCCACATCCAAAGGCCAGGAAAGCTGTCCCTCCGGGAGTGACAGCTGCAGCAGTGTAGACACGCAGCCACCAGCCACGGGGTGCTGCGTGGGCACAACGAGCATTTAGACTCTGCAGGTGGGTGAGGAAAGAAGTGAAGTTTCCGAGATTACAGTGTCAACCCAGAAGCTGAGGACCATGACCTCCCAGAACTGTCCCCCATGCTGTCCCTCGGCTCTGGCCTCCAGGCAGTCCTTGAAGTTCCTAGTTTTTCTTCTGTCCCTGGCCAAGTGTTTGAAATGGTCAGGCCAGGAGAGGGGCCCTGTCCTCTCTGCGAGGGGCTGTGTGGCTGTTGAGCGTGTTGGTGTTCAAACCCGCAGCTCTGCCCAGGCTCTTAGGTAAGAGCAACTTCAGCCAAAAGCCACACGTGTGAATTCGCCCCGGTGCCAGGGATGGAACCCAGGGCCCTGCTAGTATACGGGTCCTTCCATTCACGTGGGCCCTGGCAAATGCCGGGAGGCTTTAGTGAGCCATCCCAGAGCACTGGACCATCGGGTGATGGGAGGATGAGAGAACCATCCTGGGAAATTATCGAAGAGCTCTGGGAGGAGTTAGTCCCCACCCTGCCCTGAGAGGGCCCGTGTGCACACAGGTACCCGTGTCCCATGGGACCTGGGCAAGGAACTTGCCTCTCTCAGTCTCATCTCTTTCTGTACACGGGATCAGCGTGACAACTTTGAGTGTTGCCTAAATTAGATAAGGTAATACTTGTGATATACAGCATTTGACTGCGGCCCTTTGTAAATGGTGATTGTTTTATTGAACACTGTCATGTAGAATGACCAATTTCTCTGGTTTTCTTGGGACTGAGGGCTTCCTAGGACTTGAGGTTTTTAGTGCTAAACCTAGGACAGTCCCCAACAGGCAGAGGACACCCTGAACAGATATGAAAATGGGCAAATTAGCCATCATTTTGGTATGAGGTAGGGTGCTGAGAGAAAGAAGAAGCAAAAAGGATTCTTCCCTCAGTCTGAGACTCTGGAAGTCTTTACCTAAGCGATGCCGTCCTCATTGTTCTAGAAAGGTGAGTAGGAGTTTTCCAGGAAAAAAAATACAGTTGAAAGAAAGAAAGTCAGCCAGCTGGCCATCCTCACTTACTAACACTGTGTGTAGGACCATAAAGACACAACCTTTCTTTTACTTAAATAATGTGTTTATTACTATAGCTAAAACCACACTGATTCAGCCTTGATTCAAAATGTTCTCAATTTTAATGATAAAAAATAAAAGAAAATTTTTATTTTTTATGAAGCATTAACTTACAACCTTATAAGCTCCAGAGTTCTGTTAATAGAATAAGACAAAAATCAAAATGATATAAGCCAACAGGGGCATCTGGAAAGCCCTGCACTTAGGGTGGAAGGAATTATTCTGCCTTGATCGTAATGTATGTGAACTTTGATTTATTCCAAGTTCAATATAAGCCATGACCCTGAAACAATTGTTGAAATCATTAATTACAACATTAATGGAATTCTGTGACCTTACCGAGGGCAGGTGCAGAGTCTTACTCATATTCAAGTGCCTGGCACATGCTGGGCACTTAGCAAATATTTAAGTAGAGATCTAGGAGGTTATTGCCCCAGGATTCTGCCCTGGTCAAACCACACAGAATGGGGCTTGAGGACTTTAAGAGGCGGACTGGGGCTGGAGGGAGGAGTGCATGTGGAAGCCTTGTGTGGGGGGGGTCCCATGGGAAGGGAAGGAGGAAGAAGTAGGGCTTTGAAAGTCTTGTGTTGTGGTGGGGAGGCAGCAGCATCACCCTGAACTGCAGTGGCTTGGGGTGCAGGGTGGATGACAACTTGTCCTCCTGGTAAGCTGGGTGCTAGATGTGCCACTGGGAGGCTCCATGGCCGCTGGTGGTGGGGCTTTTTTGCATTTTGGCAAGACCCATGCAAATGGACTTTTATCAGGGAGCTTTTTATTGTGTGTACATTACACCAAAGTCCAGTTGCTTTTTGTGCCAATTACTTTTTGTATATACTTAGGGCTGAAAAGGAGACTGAAATGGAAAATATATGTAAATATGCCTTGAAGGGTAGAACATTGTGGTAGATATTACTGGAAAGGCTAAGAAATACATTTACTAAGAAGTAACCATTTCTTTGTGGCATGGAGAAACAAGCAATTATACTCTCTAAGGACCTAATACTTTTGAATTATTGGGGGGCTTGATGAAAACATCATCAAATGTATGTGTATTCAGCATTACTGACACGATTTCTTTAAAAGTTTTGCCCCATTAGGTGTGATGTGGAGCATTCACAGTGTTCTAAGTGTGTTTGGGATCTTTGGGGACTGCTTATCGATGACACCGCTTGCTTTGTGAACCAGCACCTTTACAAGGGGACTCTGTGAGGCCAACTCTGAAGTAGCCTGTTTGGCTAAAGAACAATTTGTCAATCTTCAGGAAAACCAGCTTTGTTTAACTTTCCGGTTACCACCCTGAGCAGGTCAATCAGAGTTGGGACTGGTCTTTGGAACCAAGGGGAGAGGCAAGTAAATGAGGAAAGTGTGTATTGGGGTGGCCTGGGTGTGTCACCACCTCTAGAGAAACCTGCCATTGGCCCAATTGTGTCCCATCAGAAGGTCAGACCATATTTGCTAGGCACTTTCTAAGTGCTCAGGTGGAGTGATGGACAGGAGACAGTTTTAGATAACACTTTCTTCTGTATGGGTCCCCATGTTTTCTTCCTTACACGCACTGAGAAAACAAACATACTCTGAGGTGTGGGGAGATGGGACTGTGATACATGTGGGTGGGAGCATAAATTGGTGCAACTGTTATGGGCAGTCCTTGGTAAATCAGGCCAGTGGCAAAGCAGACAGCCTGGGTAGAGAAAGTTTCACTTGAGGAATTCATTCTACAACTGTGTGGCACGTTACGTGCATCATTGTGCTGTAACTGAAACTGGAAATTTATAACCTTAAATGCACATCATTAGGGGTCTGCTTGTACACATGTGGTCCGTACAAACCACAAGACAGCACATGGGCATAAAAGTGATGAGGGCTGCTATGGGATCCTTTCAATACATTGTACTCTGCGCGGGCTCGTGCACGTGCGTGTGTGTGTGTGTGTGTGTGTGTGTGTGTTAGATTACATTCACCTGAAAATACACAGATTATCCCTGGATATCTGGAAATATTATCCCAGAGATAATCTGTGACTTGGAACTTAAAGACTCTTAACCATGTTTGTGGTCATTTCTTATGCCTCATTATTAATTAACCTATTAAATAATAACACGAATTTAAAATGTGGGGAAGTTGCAGTTAGGTCTGGTTCGGACATTTTTATCGTCTTAAGTGTTAAGTATTCCCATTGCTGTATGGCTTAGCTTAGAACTTTTTCATCTTGCCAAGCTCTGTGCCCACTAAGAAACACCCCCCAGTCCTCCCCAGTCCTCAGCGGCATTTACTCTACTTTCTGTCTTTATGAATGTGACTACTCCAGGTACTCCATACAAGTGGACTCTCACAGTATTTGTCCTTTTCTGTCTGGTTTGACTTAGCAGAACGTCTTTGAGATTCATCCATGTCGTAGCATGCTCATTGCCTTCCTTTTTGCAGTGGATTAATACTCCAATGTAGGCCACATTTTGTTTTCATTGGGGATGGACAATAGATTTGCTTCCACTTCTTGCTGGTGTGAATAGTGCTGCTATAAACATGGATGT